TCCTCCTCCTCCCCCTCCTCCTCCTCCTCCTCCTCCTCCTTCTCCTCCTCCTCCTCCTCCTCCTCCTCTTTCCCTTCCCCCCTCCTCGACGGAGACAGGCCTTCCCCCGACGAATCCCCACTGTTGCGCGACCCCGGCAGGGTGGCCGCCGTCGGACTTGGGCTCGGCTACCTCGCCACTGCCTGGCTCCAGAGAGGCAGAGGCAAAACTCAGTGCGCGGCGTGGCAGCTCGGCCTCCCGTGTAACTACCTCTGCGGGGGTGACCGCGCGCGGCAGAGAAAGGTGAAAGGGGGTATCTCGGCCGACCCGCCCCCGCTGCGCCGGTGGTGTAACCGAGGAGAGGAGACGCAGGAACACGCCGTTTTGACATGTCCGAGCTGGGCCGACGAATGAAAGGGTCTGGCCGCCATGACCTCGGAAGAACGCCAGGGAGACCTCCCGCCGCGCGCCTGGACACCGTGGGCTCCGTGACGAGGATGCTGCTCCTCTCAACCTGCAGGCTGACCTTGCCCGAAACGAACTCCCACGGCTCTTCCCCATGCCGACGCCCGAAGATTTTTGTTGTTGTTTCCCCCCCAAAAAAAGAGAGCCCGTCCACGGGCAAACCCGCTTCCCCGCAAGGGGGCTATACGCGTGCGGCAAAGCAGGAAGGACTCCGCACCGATGGACGAAGATGCCGACGCCAGACGGTCAGCATGAGGACCGCTTCGACGAGTGCGCCGACCCCACGGCAAGAGCTAGGTTTAAGTCGGGCGTGTCCCCCTACAGGGGGATTTGCGACGAAAAATTAAAAATGCTTCAGAAATACACCAAGAAGGTCAAACAAACTACCAAACAAATAACCCCCATACTTATATATATATATATTATATATATATAATATATATATATATCTATATCTATCTATATATATAAACATATATTTTTGGGGCATTTCTAGTTTTTCGTAGAAAATCTCCCTGTCTCGCCAATGTCGAGCCGCATCAGGTGGTTGCGTGCCATCTCCGCCGCCAGCGTCATCTGGCGCTTGACGCGCCCCCACTGCGCCTGAGTCGACATGTCCTCCAACTCGCAGGCAGGAGTGCTGGTCTCGAGCTGCTTTGCGTATGCATCAGTGGTGAAGATGAATGGTGGGATGGCCTGCTCGTGCTTCCGAGCCTCCGTGCGAGTCTCCATCGCCAACTCAATCGTTGCATGACCACTGAGACCCCACAGCGAGAGCTCCTGGGCGTCGTACTTCGCATTGACCGCAATGTTGGTCTCTCTCATGTACTATGGTGGTAGCGACGCGAAGATCCTGTCAATGTGCGTCATCTGGTTCGTGTGCTTGTCGGAATGCGAAGGGATGGGAGTGGCGATCTCTGTCATATAGCGTGATCCACTGAGCATCTGGCGCCAGAAAGGTTCAGAATGATTCGCTCTGCCCTCCGTTGACCTTTGTGCCTGCCGCGGCTGCGGTCGGAGTAGACTTGCGTGGGGGTTGCCGCTGAAATTTTAATCCCCAATGATAACGAAACGCCGATGTTATGGAGCCGCATGTGCCCACTTACAACTATCTTCCCAGCGGCGCTTCATCTCCGCCCTTCCTTCGGCGTTGATCTCAAACTTGTGTGCGTTGAAAATGCGTGCTTCAACTCGAGTCTTCGGGTTCTGAATGATCAATGTCTGAATGCGTCCAGGGGCAATCGCCTGATGGTGGGTGCATCGATCTCTGTTAGTCCAGTCGCGTCGAACATGGGCACTGCGATGGCAGCCCCGTCGGCTGCCGAGGAGACGGTGCCACTGAAATAGACCTTGTAGTGGTATATGGTTCTGTTGATGAGATCCTGCAGCGTCATTCTATACACGTGAAGTTCTTGCAGTCCTATGCTACCCTTGTATCGCATCATATCATAAAGTTTGGTCAGTTTTCGCTGTCACTTCTGCCGATCACGACAAAGCAGCCCTCGTGCATTCCAAGACGCAATCCTGCATGTGATGGGGTCGCTTGGGCGCAGCCACGGGGGCCGCCGATTGCTGGCAAGACGACCGTGAGCTGGTGCCGACCGCGCGGAAGAGCTGACGGAAGGTGTCCGTGATGGCATTGGTGTCCAGCTGGAGCTCGGAACGCGCGGCTGGACTCCAGTTAAACCTCGGGCGCCGCCTCCATGGCCATCGCGACCGCCTCCGCAACAAGGATTGCCCCGCAGTGTACCAGGCCCGCGTCGCGCTGCATCCACCAATCACCTGCTTTGGCTTGCTGGCAAAATCCCAGCAACTTCTTCGCTTGAATCTCCAGACGTATCGCCGTCGGGCCCTTGTCCAGATTGATGTAGAGCCTCTCCGGCTGCCCGTCTGTGGCCAACGCGTTGACCCCCCCCACTTGCCACTGGGCAGCTTGAGATGCTGGGTGAGGTTGAGCGCCCTAGCTTTGCCTTCGGCAGCGCCAGGAACAGATGGATGGAAGCGTGTGGCGGGCTCCTTCTCGTTGATCGTGATGCGCTCGATGTCCACTGAGGCTGCCTGACTCCACGGCGCGATCGCGTCCTTGATGGCTTGCGGGGTGACGACTTTCTCGCAGTCGGCAACGAACAGCGGAGGGTCGGGGGCGCGATCCCAGGTGGCGTGGCGCAGGATGTCTGGCGCGTCGCTGCGGCCAAGCTCGTCCACCTGCACGAGCGTGTGCTGCGTGGCGCAGATCTGCTCCCGCATCTCTGAATTGTCGGTCGCCAGCTTCGCGGTGGTCGCCTGCGGGGCCGTGAGCTCGTGTTGGTGCTTGTCGATGCGCTCCACCTGCGGTCTGATCTTCTCGTCGACCCCCGCGGAGATGGAGCTGAATGATGCGGAGACAGTGTCCTGGATGGCGGGGGCGGCGTCTTCCATCTGCTTCTTGAGCGAGGCCTGGATGCGCAATTCGAAAGCTGCAATGCCCCGTTGCATTGTAGAAGCCGCATCTCCTTCCCCGCGGGCGCCATGGGTCGCTCTGCTGCGGCGAGTCGACCGCCGAGGCAGGGGGGCCCGCAGATCCCGAGGCTGCCGAACGTCGCCCCCCAAGATCGACTGCGGGTGCCAGGCTCACGAGCAGAGGGGGCGCCAACGACCCCCATGGCGCGAATGAAAACTGCAAGAAGAGCCAGACAATGCGGGTCGGAATGCTTGGAAACACAAAACTGCGGCGAACGTGCGCCGTGGTGCTCAGAAGCCGAACCAGCCAGGGCGAGGAAGGGGCAACCCTTCCGCCACGGCAGCACCAGACGACTCTTGGCCCCAACATCGCGCAGCTCGACTGGGGTTGCCCGAAACGGGAGCTACCCTCGGACTAGAGGTATCCGCCTCTTGCCCAGGGGGCAACATCATCTTGAGCCAAAATGGCCACGGAAGGAGGAGGAGGAGGAGGAAGAGGAGGAGAGATGCAGCAGAACTCTGGGTGGGGAGCGCTGGTCGACACCTGTCCGACACGTGCGTTCCTGTTTGTATCTCAGTATGGCACAAGTTGCGCTGGTGCCGTTGTTTTTTGTCAACCCGCCCACCTGGGGTGAATCTTCGGGAAGCTCGCCAACACAACGGCAACAAACAACGCAACATTATGAATACGCGTCCACGGTCATTGTGCACCAGGTTGTCTACACCCCACTTCCCGTATTGTATTGCTGTCTGGCTTACCTTGCCCTGCCCATTCTTGACGGAGGTCGTCTGACCGCAGAGCATGCCACCTGGGCAACATCCTGTGATTGCTGCCTTAATTCATTCCAAGTGCTCCACCCTCTGGGCAACTGATCTGGAAATGCGGAAACGTAGCGATCTGGGAATGGCTGCGTCCGTAACAAGTTAGCGACACTTGGGGAAGCCTCTGTCCCAAAGGCCAAGACACACATGTTGCAACATACTATCAGGTTCGCACCTGGGAAATAATTATGCTTGGGCTCGGCCGTCAAAGGGGTCGTTCGTTGGTTACGCCTTACTGCGCGTTTCAAGTGTACTCAAACTTGCCACCAGCTGGAGGCCCACTGACACTGCGTTCAGAAACAGATCGCACTCACGCTAAGGATGTATTCGGCTGACGAGGGGAGAGATGGGCTTTCCTGGAAAACAATAAGTTAGGGCTTGGGATCGGGCGGCAGGAAAATTAGAGGTTCGAGTTCGGAAACCAAGGACAGCACGAGTTCGAAACAAGTTCGAACATTCAGGGGGAGACCGAAAACAGTTCAAATGTTTTAACGCAGAGTTCGGAGGAAGCTCGAAAACAGTTCGAAACAAGTTGTGTAGACAGGCTGCGTCCTCAGCGGCTACGAGCGCAGCCTGTCTACACTACTCGAGCCAATGCTTGTCGGGCAGAGCGCTAAGCCAGATTGGCTGCAGAACACCCCGGTTAGGTCGTGCGTGTCCTCCTACAGGCGGATTTTGGACGAGCAGTTAACAGTCAACAAATATTCAAAACATGCAAAACAATGTTAGAACAGTTTCCCCATATGATTTTGGATTATTTTTGAACCTTCCTCCTACAAGGGGGACGCGCCTGACTTAACTTAACACCGCAAGGGGGAGCCACGGCCCCTGCGCACCCGCCTTTGGCGCCTGGCGGCACAGACAGAGATGCTCTCCGCCCGGCGCCTGCCCCCCCCCTTTCGGCGCAAAGGCGTCGGACCCGGCATGCGTAGGTCGGGGAGCTTCTGACCCGGGTCAATCCAGACCTGGGCCAGTCAGGCCTTGCAGGATCATGCAAGATCCTGCGCCCAAGCCCGGGTCCATGCGAAGGATCCTGCAAGATCCTGCAGGATCCTGCGCCCACGCCCGGGTCAATGCGACCCTGGCCATGCAGGATCCTGCAAGATCAAGCGCTCTGGCTGAGCCCCGTTTGCATTGACCGCCGTCTCTTCAGTCCCGAGTAGGCCTCCCGCCCCTCCTCCCTGCCCGCGCTGGGTCCCCTCCCAGCAGGGACTAGCGTTAGGTCGGGTATGTCCAGCAACAGGCGGATTTTGGAGGAAAACCAAAAAGTCAAGCAATAGTCAAACATAGTCAAAAATAAACCAAACATCGCCCCCCGATTCTTTAAATCATATGTGAATGCACACATATATGTATGTATGTATGTATGTATGTATGCATGCATGCATGCATGCATGCATGCATGCATGTATGTATGTGTATGTATGTATGTATGTATGTATGTATGTATGTATGTATTTGTATGCATGTAGGTAGGTAGGTAGGTAGGTCGGTAGGTAGGTAGGTAGGTATATTTGTATGTATGTCTGTCTGTCTGTCTGTCTGTCTGTCTGTCTGTCTGTCTGTCTCTGTCTGTCTCTGTATGTATGTATGTATGTATGTATGTATGTATGTATGTATGTATGTATGTATGTGTGTGTGTGTATGTATGTCGGCGGTGCGCCGTGGCACGAACCCCCCCCAGCACTACCCGGGGGTTTCGTGCACTACCGGGGGGTTTCGTGCAGCCCGCACCGGGTGCCGCCAGCGGCTTAGAACACCCCCCCCTTGCCGCTTTACCGGGGGGTTCGTGCAGGCCGCATTGGGTCCTCCCCTGTCGCTTTACCGGGGGGGTTCGTGCAGGCCGCGCTGTGTCTACCTGGGCTCCCCCACCCCCCCCTGTGGGAGTGGGGGGGTGGGAGTGGGGGGTGGGTTGGGGGGGGGGGCAGGGGGGCGGTTGGGAAGGGTGGCTCCCTGTCGAAGTGTGGCGTGTGCTCGCCTTGTGTTCTCTATTGCGTCTGCTCGCCATTGTTTCGCCTTCCTCCTCTTCTTCCTCCTCCTCCTCCTTCTCCTCCTCCTGCTGCTCCTCCTCCTCCTCCTCCTCCTCCTCCCACTCCTCCTCCTCCTCCTCCTCCTCGTCGTCGTCCTCCTCCTCCTCCTCCTCCTCCTCCTCGTCCTCCTCCTCCTCCTCGTCCTTTGTAATGCAGATTGGGGCCACAAGCATGCGAGTTGCGCCGCAGCCTCTCGTATTGTGGCCACGAGCCCAGCAGTGCGAACAACAGGAATGCCAGCTCCTCCTCCTGCTCGTCCTGGTAAGATTCGCGCGTCGGGGCTGGGGTTCGCGCGTGCCGGGAACGCGCCTCTTACGGAGGGGTTGCGTCCTTACCGGGGGGTTTCGTGCAGCTTACCAGGAGGTCGTGTTTACCGGGGGGTTTCGTGCAGGCTCGCACCGGGAATGGCGCCAGCTCGAAACCCCCCAGGAGAGATTACCGGGGAGGGGTTTCGCTCCGCACCGGGCACCGCCGACATGTATGTGTGTGTTTATATATATATATATATATATATATATATATTATATATATTATATATATATATATAATATTTTTTTTTTTTTTTTTTTGTTGTTGTTGTCTTTTTGGTCTATTCCTCCTCCTGTAGAAGGACAGACCAGATCTAAGACCAGCGACGCGTGCACGAGCGACGGGCCCCGCTTCCGTGCAGAAGCGGCGCGCTGCGCCGCCAAATCGGGCGGCACTGGCCCCACACATCGGGGGGGGGGACCCGTGCGCCCGCGCGCCAGTTCCACGGGCCCCCGGCCCAGTGTCAGCGCGTGCCCGACCGTCCCCCCTGCCGCTGCATCCCTCCGCGCCGCCTCCTCCTCCTCCTCCTCCTCCTTCTCCTCCTGCCGTCGTGGAGCTCGCGCCGCCGAGACGAGCGAAATCACCGTCGGCGCGCGCGCGCGGCCCGCTGCTGGCGCGGTCCTCCTTCGGGCGCCACTGGGGCCGCGACTCCAGCTTCTCCGCGGAGCCCGACCTGCGAGGGGCGGTGCTGACGGGGGCCCGGGCTCGGGCGCCGTCGCTGGCGCTGGCCGGGCGGGCGCAGGACGGGCGCGGCCCGCCGGCGAGGGGCACCTGGCGGGCGAGCTTCGGGGGAGCACCTGGCGAGCGACCACCCGGCATCGATCAGGCCGCCCTTCGGGAAACGAGGAGGTGCGGGCGTGATGGGCTCAGCTGTTGGTTTGCGATGGGCTCGCGTGGGGCTGGCAGCAGAAGAGCCGCCATAGTGCAACGAGGCACTGGGTAGAGGGTTTCGAGTCCACGAGAAATCTATCTAATGAGTATCAGAGCCCCAAGCACAGTGGCCTGAAGGAGCGCGAGAAATCGCGCGCTCCGTAGCCATTACATCCGCGGGTCGCGGCTGCGCCGTCGTTATGGACCAGCGCCGTGTGCCCGTGTCCAGAGGCGACCATGGGCGCCGGGCGGCCCCCCACGCTGGACACAACTCCGTGAATCATCCGAGATCGCCGACGCCTGAAAATCTGCTGGAGCAGCGGCGGGTACTGAAATCAGGAGCCACACGCCATGAACGAACCGATTCACATTCATACCTGCATGCGCGCACACATGCAAGCACGTGTGTATACATACGCAGACATGTGACTAGCTGTATGACCGTACGCATGTGGGACAGACTGGTGGCGATAGTGACAGCAAGCAGATGGAGAACTTTGAAGAGAAATCCGGTAACCGCAGGGATGGCGATCAGTAGCGCACCTCGATAACGAACGGCAGGAAAGCTCTGCGGCCGTACTTTCTC